GAGCGCAGAATGTAAGGCGATTTTCTATTTTTTCTTTCTTTACTTTTAGGGGTGTACCCGGCGTCGAATGTGTGCAGCATACTGATGTGTGCGGCCGCCGACGCCCTGTTAGGGAATGAAATTGGCATATAAATGTAAATTTTATGCTATGAATTTTAAAATGAAGTCGATACTTCCGCGCTTACGGCGGAGCGGGTGAGCCGTTTTCGCAAGTTTTACGTCAGCCAGGGATGAAATTAGATTAGAATACGCCACTTTTGGTAAAGTATGGCCCTTTAACGGCTTTCGCGGAACCCTCATGTAATATAAGATCTCCATTATTCGCAACTTGTCCAAGGAAAAGACTCAGCGATTTATATTGAATACCCAAAGCCGCTGCGTTAGTTCGAATGATGCCTGTACGCGACGTTTTAATGCCTATAAATGTTTCCGATTCCGAAGAAGTCTTTTATAGTTGAAAATTATTTTATATTGATTCGGTGTTAAAAAGTGCCATAAAAGCCGAGCGGTGCCCATATTGCGAAAGCGCGCTCAGAAACGAAAATTGAGACGTCGAGCGAACGAAGGAAAATAGAGGAATCAAAGAACAGGAAAAAATCCACTTTACAGACGAAAACAAGTCACTTTAACTTTATTGAGCTGTAATCGAATTGTGACGTCCCTGCGAGCGGCGGCGCGCTCGAGGTCGGAGCGGCGGGATCTGTAGCCATCCTTATCTGACCCGCCCATTTAAATCTATGCTATTCAATCGTGCCGTCTCGCTCGCGTCCCAGGGGTGCCGGCGAGATTGCAATCTTTTGATTTATGCCAACTATTAGGAGTGGTGCGGGATAGTCTGTCTCCGAAACGAGATGCTCCTCGATAAACGCGCGATACGATCGACGCAGTACTGATTATAGAAATGGAATTACTTATAACTTTGCTGTATTATTGCTTGTATCAAATTGAAATATTGAGAACTGACTTTCATGAATTGATAAGCCGGCTTTACGCAGTAATTCCCTGGTTCGAATGGTTTGCACTTTTACGACTGTATTAAGCTCTGATGAAGTAGAGTTGAAGAAAAATTATTCTTTTTTGCGCCTGTATAACTTGACTGTTCATTTAAGTTATAATAGTAACTTATTCTTTTATCTATTAACATTTACAGGATTAAATTGACACGTGGTGAAAACAGTAAAAATAATGAAAAAATAAGTAGAGTCAAGCGTGACCTAAGGCATATACTACATCATATTACCTAACTTACATTCGTTTTACCCGACTGCGTCAGAATGGAAGGTTGTATTCAATCAGCAAGAAGATATAACCCAGAAAAATATTTTTTAACTTTCAGAACACAGAAACCTTTCAGTTTTCCTGAAAATATCCGCTGCAGTATTGCCCGATCTCGCTGATAGCATGTATCGAATGTGCTGGCCCTTAGATAATAATCCCCGTGGGCAGAAAAAAAGTTGTGGTGGGCAACTCCCCACAGAACGCTTAGTAGCTCCCGAAAATAAGGGAGAGCGTCCCTCATTTATATTGGACGGGAGCCTGCTTTTTGCCTGGACTCTATCTACAAATTGGGGTAAATGTTTGCCCATCGAATTCGGGTTTCAGTATTCACTGAAGGCGAAAGGAATTATAACAACAAAAACTTTGTTAATGTTACGAAATTAGTGATAATTAATATTAGAATACTTTGTGTTTTATCATTAGAGTCTTGCGTTTTTTTGTAAGTTTCCCGCTTTGATAGTTTTTTATTGTTCAACTAGAAAACATAGCTAAGATGATTGTCATTTTGAAGAAAAAGGGACAATCATAACTACGTATTTTAAGTACCATAATCTTTCACTCACTCATCACTACTGGAGAATGAGAACCTTCAAACACTGTCTCTTATTAAAAATAAAAACATATTATCACCTCTTTGTATTTGTGAGTATTGTATATTTTCAGTATTATTGTGGCGTGATGTTTAAAGATTAATAATGCCTTAACATTTCTTAAAGAAAGTAACAACTAGTTAGTAGTTTAGATTTGATCTACCTTGTCTTAATTTCACCATCCTCATTGACCTTTATCCATGCTCCATTAAAAAGAAATTAAAACACAATTTGCACAAAACAGCTATAATTCAACAACAACAGCTACCGTATTGATTAACTTGTACCTTATTAACACTTCAATTACAGATCGGCATCAAAACAAGGCTGTAATTGCAAACTGTATTTTGAAAGGTTCTTTCAGTGTAAGCTACAGACAAAAGCTCACTACTTTATTAAATTGTGTTGTAATTTCCAACAATAATCGTATAGCTAGTAAACACTGATAAGATTCCTTATGCTTGTTTATTACACTTAAGTAAAAATATAATCTAAAATATCTTAACTAATTTAAAAGCCTTTGAAAATGGTTATTTTCTTTCTCAAGTAGGCTAAAAAGCTTAAAACTACGATAATGCAGACCACAAATAAAATGCTTATGAGAATCAAATAGGGTTTATCAAATTTAAAAGACCAGTTCTCCAGCTGTTTTAGAGTCATGAAATCTTATCTTACTAATATTATAAATGCGAAAGTTTGTATGGATGTCTGGATGTTTGTTACTCTTTCACGCAAAAACTACTGAACGGATTTTAAGGAAACTTTACAGTATTATTGTTTATAACCAAGAATAATACATAGGCTATAATTTATGACGATCGGTGACAAACTAAATTTCACGCGGGTGAAGCCGCGGGAAAAAGCTAGTAATGAATATTTGCAGTAGATAATAATAGAATTTAACCCCTTCACTGGCCAGAACCGTTCACGTCCGTTTTGTTCTTTTTAACACTAAACCTCGCAAACTTAAACGGAATTAAGACGTTACCCGTGACGAGTGGGCCCTTTCGTCACATGCTAAATATATTTAATAACCCCGGCCACAAAGGGCTTAATATCTGTGTCTAACATGTAGGAATAATGTTAGTGTTTTGTTATTATGTTTCCTGTATCTCAATGTTTTAATTTATATTCTAGTGTGAAGACTGCATAAATATTTTACTGCTAAGGAAGAGTGTAGGAGATATGTAAAGAACTTACTTTTTTTTTTGGTTACAGTCGTGTTTTATTTGATTTTGCCTATTTTTAACGTCATCCCGAAAAGGAGCAAGTTATATTTACGATGTTTTTGGTACTATATCCCAGTAAAATGTGATACTACTTTTATGATAGAAAATGGTACGATTACTGTGTTCTGCACGCTTCTTTCCTCACTGTATTTTTTAATACGAATTGTCAGTTTTGTTATTTTTTCGGTTCGATGTTATTCAAGCATTGACGGCAACAAAAAATGATCAGCATCCATTACTTGGAACAGCAACAACAATTCCTGTAGTTTATTTCCTATTCAATTACGCCTCAATGTAAATACAAATGCTACAAACTACACATTTACAATTTTATTCGACACTGACGAACGTTTTACACTGAATAATGTTGTATTTACTAATGGAAACAAAGGGTTTACGCCCGCGACTAAACGCAGTGAAAATAGCTCTGACAATAGACGATTGTTACAGTAACGTCACTCCTAAAACATGGTAACATGACGATAGCATTACGTCACACTACATACATTAGTTAGCCCAAATAGTTTTATGAAAGTCTAAGAAATGACAATTGCTAAACTTTATTCTCATGGATAGGGTCATTAGGATTAGATATTTTTTTACTGAAAATACAAACCAAGTAAAAAAAAAATTACAAATATGTCTCAACATTGTCTTGCTTTTCATCTGAAATTGGGTGCTTTTAATGGACCAAAAGAACCTCCACTTATTTTAAGTAAGTTTGACGTACACTTTTCAAGTATTAAACTAAGTAATTACATTTTCAATCTGTTTTTTGACGTAAGTAGTAGTTTTCTGTGCTACCTAAATAAAAACGTTTAGAACAAAGAATACTGACAACATTTTCATTGTGTGCAACGCCTGTAATGAGGGCTATCGTTTTAGCGCTCACCAGTTAGCGCCACTGTAGAGTAAGGTCCTGTCACATGCTAGTAGCGAAGACAGTGGCGCCAACTTGTGAGCGCTAAAGTGGTAGGAGGACTATCGCATTTGCACTCATCAAGATGGCGCCATTGTAGAGTAAGGTCCTGTCAATCGCCAGGGGTGCCAACTGTTAAGTATAAAAACGATAGCCCTCATTTACTAGCACTCTATGATACACGTTTCCTGTGACAGTTATTATCCTGCTTTCGCCTCCGAGATTTATTTTACCGTGTAGTACCCCTGTACGACAAGCCAATCCGCACACAATATTCAGCGTAGTAGTAGTAAAAAACAAAAGAGCGGGCAACCCCACCCCTACCACGCTGTGGGCTCGGTGTCCGAGCGGTCTCATTCCTTTGTGCGCACGCGCAACGACCGCACGCAGTATAAGAAAAACGCTTAAGTGACGTCACCAGGACGTTTTTACCGNTCGGACACCGAGCCCACAGCGTGGTAGGGGTGGGGTTGCCCGCTCTTTTGTTTTTTACTACTACTACGCTGAATATTGTGTGCGGATTGGCTTGTCGTACAGGGGTACTACACGGTAAAATAAATCTCTTCGGCGAAAACAGGATAATTTAGATCGAACTTCACTTGGTAAGTTCGTTTGATCATCTAATTATTTGTGTGTTGGCACCGCGTTATCACCGTTTTGTATAATCTGTCAATCGATTTGTCACTATTTATAAATAGGGCGGTGCTTGAATAGCTTTCACGAGTAAGTAGTTTAATTCGAAACGCTTTTTAAACATAGTGCTAACTAAAGTAAATAATGGTTTTAAATACATACTGGAAAACATAGACCACACTACAGCAGGTTTAGTATCAATAAATGAATGGTAAAGTAAGAATTACGTGTAGTTATCAAGATATGATAGCGATGTTAGCTGAATGTATTAAGCTCTCTTTTGGATCACAAACATGCTTGTAAAATTGGTACGAGCGCCAAAGGAAGAAATAGAAGTCAAATGTTACTTACAGCGACTCTGCTCTCCTTGAGGTCCAGCCGCATCGCGAGGGCTTCCCTCATGAACACGTCGGGGTAGTGGGAGGCGAGGAAGGCCCTCTCGAGCTCCTCCAGCTGCCACGAGTTAAAGTTGGTGCGCGAGCGTCTTCGCTTGCCGCTGTCGCCGTCGTCGTCGCCAATGCCACCTGGCGTGAATAGAAAAAAAATTAAAGACTGTTTATTATCTTAAATGTCATGTCAACAAGTTAGACAATTACTTTGCTTTTGCTACAGCTCATAAGATAGAAAAAGAAACAGAAACTTATTAATTTCTGTGAACATCTTATAAGAGACCTAGATTTGTTCTGCCAATGTAAAGAATTGTAAGAGAAATCTCTTGAGACTACGCATCGATTCAAAACTGACAAGGAGGTTCTGTAAAATTCAGAAATTTTTACGATTTCAAGGCATTTTTTATTTTAAAGTTAAGATAAAAAATCTTTGCTTAGTTTTTGTTCATGGAAGCTGTTAAGTCTCTGATATCTATGATAAAATTAAGGTGGTCTAAATGTACCAAGAAAATCGAAACATTTGTCGGCCGTTTGGTGTGGTGGTTCGAAACTGACTACTGTTCCGGAGGTAACGGGTTCGATTCCCGCACAGTACAAATATTTGTGTGCATGAACATATTTGTTTGTACTGGACTGGGTGTTTTCTATGTATAATATGTATGTATTTACAAAAAAAAAAGTATTTAAGTATGTTTATATCAGTTGTCTAGTACCCATAGTACAAGCTTTGCTTAGTTTGGGACTAGAAGCGCAGTGTAAAATGCCCAAGGATATTTATTTATTTATTGGACTGCAGAATACAATATAACCTAAGTGTAAATCTGTTGTCACCAGGAAAGTCTAGTGACAAAGCGGATTCATTGAATCCTTTGCAGACGGCGAAGGGGTTAACTAATGGCGAAACTTTGGAATTAATAGCCACAATGGGACACGCACTCAGGCTGAAGCGATGGGGTCATGGTCTATGCATCCCATGGATTTAGGCAAGTATGAAAATCGATAAAATTGCTAAACGTAGATGGGAGTTACATGGTAGTTGTATTCTTATAGCTGTATCTGTCAAAATTATCTATTATTTTAAAGAAAATTTCGTTTAATGTGAATATCCATGAACTGCTTTATAGGGACGTTCGTGCCTTAAGGCAGTTATTGCTTGGTAAACTGAATTTGGTTGATGAAAATCAGTGATCTGAAATTTGTAAATACCAATTGTCTACTTTGAAATAATTTATATCCACCCCTAGGGATAAGCGCAGAACCTTTTTAATGAAGTTTCAAACGAAGTCTTTATTAATATCGAGTAGCTAGGTAGGCCTGAAGTAGCCTTAAAAAACGATACTATGCTCTCTATTTATTCTCATCTGCAATAAAACTACTGTCCCAAGTGTTGCACTTGCACCAAAAAAAGTTGACGAGCACAGATTATAATGGCAAATTAAAACAAAAGCCGTTCGACAAACCGCAGTATTGAAATGAGAAAGACATAACCATAAAGACACCGGGCTGCCTCAACAAAGTCAATTTAGACAATTCCTCAGTCGTTAAACCAAACTGGCGACCGGGGGATCATAAAAAAGAGATAATCTCCAACAAAGCGTCCGAACAAGTTTTTGAAAATAGAATATAATTTCTAATTTTCTCCCGGTGATTTTAATTAAAAATGGTCCCCCGAGAGCGGGACGGACGATCGCCCCGGGCCCGGGTTGGAGAGGGACGCCAATAAATTACGCAGCTTGCTCTCGGAGGGGCTAAATAAATTAGGAGTGATTAAGAGGTGCGCGCTTCTGTACGTTTGAACGTGTCATTATTTTGTTGGAATTATTCGTGAAACGTGAGCCAAGTGATTAACTCGATACAAAGTGTCGTTTAGGTCAGTTAATGATATTGAATGGTCGCTTATTACGGTCGATACAACATTTCGGAAATTAATCCGTGTGATACGAATCAATGCGTGTTACATTTAAATTAGATTAATACTGTAGTAGTTAAAATATTAGTCCGTTATTGTTGTTTTGTTTTAGTTTAATTGCTCAGGATTTTGATGGCTTTCAATATAGTTTCAATGTTCTTATGTAATAGGTATAATTTCACGCTCGTATTTCAAACATAATGTAGAGAAGTAACTATAAAATAAACTAGACTGTAATCTTTGACTATCTGACGCAAAATCGTTTTAAATTTTTATCACAACTTAATCTCAATTACTTCTCGTTGGAAAACACTCTAGATTCACCGATAATTACGTAAATAAGTAATTTTATAGTATTTGCATTAAAAATAACTGGCGAGAAGTGTATGCGTTAGATAAGATAAGCTATAATAATTTCCAATCTGACGTTTTATTTGAATTTGATTTTAATATTATACACCGTTTATGAGCCAATTTAAAAAAATACTACAGTTTCTGAAGTGTTCAAACAGCGAACGTTTTAGTGGGCGAGAGAGAAACAAAATCATGGATTATTTTTAGGGTGTTTAAGCGGAAAATATGATAAATCATTAAAAAAAATAGTATTATTAATAAACTTTAAAATCTAATTGTCTCAATTGAATATCAATATTAATCACTCGAAAAACGGAAAAAGTAAAAATTGTAGGACATACAATAAGATAATATATGTATTATGCCAATAGGACAGTATTATGACAGGCTCTAGAAAAGGGCAGTTGATAAGTATGTAGAGTCCACATATAAATTAATTTGTCAGACAGTCGATTAAAACTTCTATGTTAACATTTTCAATGGCTGCTCCATGCTAGAATTTCCATAAGCTTTGACGAACTTCGGTAGCTCTGCATCACAAAATTACTCGCGGGGGAGGGAGACAGACATACAAGTCTAATAAGGGGTGTGAAAGAGACGAGTATGGTTATTGTATTAAAACAAACGACCGCCTTGGGCCCACCGAGAACAGTTTTGGTACGCTTTAATTTAGTCTCCTCAATGTTTTAAAGCCACAAGGGAGGGGGGAGGGGGGCTTACTAAGTATCTATTTGAGGGCTGTACAACGCGGTTAATAAATTCGTACAGTTAATAATTCCTGTTGTTTTGAACTTATGACGTGGCGGCGAGACGATTTATTGTGAGTTATGAATTGACATTTTGAATGTATGACGTCAGAATAAAATTGTGTTTCAGTAGTATTCTAGATTTGCCCCTGGAAAATTAGAGTACCGTGCTACTGCTGCAATGGGTGAAGTTGGAGACTAACGCCCATATTCACAAACATTACTATGAGGTCTCACAGTGCACGTGGACGCACAGGGACACGAACCAATCACAGAGCTCTATTCAACGCCGTGCGTTCGATTTGCTGCTTCACTTGAGCAAGCATCGTTTGTGAATACGGGCGTAAATAAATGACACGATCATGATGGTGAATAAGTATTCTATGGGTTTCATTCGTTGCAGCCAAATGACATCCACTGCTGGACAAAGGCCTCCCCCAAGGGTTTCCATAACGACCGGTCCTGTGCTGCCTGCATCCAGGCTCTTCCCGCGACCTTCACCAGATCGTCGGTCCACCTAGTGTTTAGTCTATGGGTTTATACAAAGAATTTGATTGATAGGGCTCTATCATTTATCTCACTTTTCTCCAAATTTTGCCATATCGACAACAATGTGACAATAGTTGTAATCAAATTTAATCGATAAAAAATTCAGCTGATGTAGAGAGACATCAGCTGAATTTTTTAAGGGTGGCGAAGAGATCGCGATAAACATGCATCTTGTTGTTGACCAAAAAACACTTTTTAATGTAGGTACTAAGTAAGAAAACCTCTAAACGCACATTTTATGCTCACCTATATTCGAATGGGATTCAATGAAAACCTCGTAAAAATATTCAGGGGACGGTTTTTTGTCTCTCCTGAAAAAAAAAATGTTTTCGGTACTACCGAGGTTTCTACTCGAAAACCTTTACACAAAATTTGAAGAAATGGCGGATGCTTTAAGCTGGAGCCAGTAATCCTTTAAGTGGTACGAGTAATCGAGGATGGGAGTTATTAACACGTTGACATCCACAAATAACTGGTTACGAGCGGTTAACCGGTTCACTAGTTATTATAACGTATTTAATTAAATATCTAGGTCATCATATTTAAAATTCAATTGTAAAATCGTAGCAAACAACAACACTAAACCATAGAGCAATCTCATTGAGTGTCAATAGAATGTTTATTGCCCCAGATAAGCATAGACAATATTTTTATTTTATTCATAGAGATGTTATCGCTCAGCATCAAGTAAAATTAAGTCCATATTCAATAGAAGCGTTTTTATTCGCAATATACTTTATATTTCTATTACCCTGAGCTAGGGGAACTACCGGGTAGAGATAATTTATAGGTTATGTCCGAGATTGTATCTTTATTTGTTGTCTATGCTCTATAGTGGACTAATAAAGTTTTGGGGTTATGGCACAATTGGTTATAAGATTGCCATTTATGGGTAGAGATGCAATATAGGAAATATGAGACAAGAGGTTTTTTTACAACGAAAACTTTTGAATATTGCTGAAATAAAAAAACACACTTTTGTCTTCTACTTCAAAAAAAGGGAAAGATTGAAATGCAGCGAATCACTAGAATCTCTAATAATAGCAGACTTGGTCTTTATAGAATCCTTCTTAAAGAATCACTATATTGGATATAGCGTGCAACGTATACTTAAGTTTAATGGCTTTATTTTATTAGCATGAATCTAAGATAACTCAAGATTGCAATATGAGGGAACGCTGTATTATATTAAGTCGTTATTAAACCCAATAATTATTTAACCCTTTCAATAAGTGCATAACCGTCCAGCTACATTAATTGGTTAATGAACAATTTATATTGACAACTTCCAGCACTATAATTGGTGGAAAATATTAAAATCCAGTTTACAATCTTTATAAGTATTAAAATGAATTTATAAGAAGAAATTGAATTGCACGTAATCAAAACACTGGCTCGCATTGGTTTATAATTTCATTATTCCCAGAATCAATATATGGGATCGCGGGGCGTACTCGGGTGTAAAGATTCAGTAAATTTCGCCAATAATAATGTACCGTTGTAACCACCTAATAGCACAGTGCGCATGCGGTTAAAGTATAGCCGAACCGATAATTTTGGTACTTGGCCCGACACTA